CTTCCAGATCCTCGTCATCCAAATCAGATGCCAGTGACATTTTATCTGCATCATCGCCATCTTCATCGGAGAGGTGAAAATCATTGTCTTCATCTACCAGAGTGTCCGCTGCCTTCATGTCCCCCTTTGATATGTCAACAAGCACCTGAGGGACCGAGAAATTAACATGAAGCCGCTTCTCAGTGATAAAGCTTGTGGGACTTGAACTCTGTGGGAATCAGCGGTATTCTGATCTTGAGTTTGGTGCTTTTGGGAAGCAGCGTGTGACGTTTACCTTTTTCTTCTTGATGGAGACGAGAGAGAACAAGGACGAGTCCTCAGTGGAGGCGATGGACACACCCGGTAGATCCATCTTCAGCTCCACTCTCTCTCTCTGCTTCCGCTGCTCCTTCAGCAGTTTCCTCTTCTTCCTGCCAAATCAGCAAGAGACAGTTTCTTGGTTTGCCCCTACAACTGCATCCGTGGCAAAAGCTAAGAGAGGTGAAACTAAAAGTAAAGTGTTGCTTCTCTTTAAGGCAAGATGCACCTATCAAGACAAAGTAGGAAAGATGAGGAATTAATGTCACCGAAAACACAAAAAACTAAAGCGGTTCATACCGTTTGAGCTCAGCCACCTCCTCAGCTTTCAGCTCTGCCAGCTTTTTCACCATTTCTTCCTCCTCGTTGTCCTCACCCTCCTCCTCTTCATCCTCCTTTCCTGCTTCTTCCTCTGAATTGCTCCCTTCTTCATCCGAGCTTAAGCTAAAAACAATGTAGAGATGATTTATGTGTGACACACTTTAACAAAGATTTAATATTTAAATTGCTTTTTCTTTTCTTTTTTTAAACCTGATCTCCTGGTCGAGCTGCTTAGCCTCGTCTTTCAGTTTCTTAGCTAAGTATCTCCTCAGCTTGGACCTCCAGTTCAGCAGCAGGCTGCAAACGTGAGAAAAGACATGCAAACACGGCCCGTGTTAACAACACTTCATGCTACAACACGTTCGCACACCATCTGATGTATGTGATGTGCAAGCACAGTAAAGTAGCAGCAGCTTACTAAGGCACAAACGTGGCGAGTGAGAGATGGAAAAGCTCACCGGAGTTCTTTGCGGCCCAGGACTTTGATGTCACGACAACACTCCTTTATTTCATTGCTGGTTGCTGAGTGAAACTCCAGATCAGGATTGTTGAAGGTGATCTGAATGAGACAGAGCAAGAAAAGCACGAGTTTTCTTGTTAGTTCTTATTCTTAACAGGACTGTCTCAAAGCCCC